TGGGTGAGAGCCAGAGGCTGCCGCAGCGTGGAGGGCCCAGGCGCTGCGGGTGCTGGGCTGCTAAGGGGCTGGTCAGTGAAAACCCCCCAAAGTCTGTATAACTGGAAGCAAGGGGGTGAAGTGGGCAGAGGGAGAGAAGGGGCCACAAGGGTCACTCGGGAAGGCCCTGGTGGAGCAGAGAAATGCACGGGGACGCGGTCCTGTGGCATGGAGTCCCAGGGAGGGTTCAGAGGGGCCAGGCCTCATCCTCCAGGACGATCAACTCCCCTGATATAAGGAGAACTGCGTCCCCTCACTGGAAACAGTCCCACACACTATGGGGAAGGCACTTCTCCCCTCTCTCAGCCACAAAACTGGCTGGGATGTATTTTAGGACTGTCAGTATATCCGGTTATTATACCGCTGCTAGATTTATACAGTGTAGCTGCTACCAAAGCCACTCCAGCTAGATAAACCAGTTGAATTAAAGCAAATCAAGACAAACAGCTCCCGGGGATCTGCTGGAAGATGCCAGCGCCAAGCCCACAGAGGTTAAAGGCCCAGGGATCACCCTCCTTCGAGTCACAGCCTGGAATCTGTGCAGGTGTTAGGTGGACAGTGTATCGGGGGGAGCATCACCCAGGGGAGACTGCTAGAGAGAAGCCCCTGACCTTTTCCAATGCCCACTTCTCCCTCAAAGGACTCTAAGTATGGGTCCAGCACAGCGGTTAGGAGTCACGCACACCTGGGTTCCCATGGTCCCTGGGCCATCCCAGCTGAGACCCTAGCAAGCCCTGAGCCTCAGTGGCTTCAGCTGATTGAGGGAGATAACCTCCTCCCACCCCCACGCTGTTAGGGGGACTACATGATATAAACAGGGACGCCCAGCATAGGAAGCACTCTCTGAGAGCAGCCAGCTTTGCTGGTGCTGGGAGACGCCTGGAGCCTCACTGGCCCGGGAGGGGTGCACACCAGACCCACATTACCGACTGGAAACAAGGGCTCACAATCAGCCCTACTTATTCCAAAGCCACTGCTGAACCCATTTTGTGCTCCTCAGCAGAAGGGAGATGGGGAGGGACCGAGGCTCTGTCCATATCCTTGACCTACTTTATTTCTCAGGTTTTGAGGCAAAAATGACCCTGCTAAAATGCAAAGGACTTCGGGACTTCCCTGGTGGTTAAGAGTCTGCCTGCTAATGTAGGGGACACGGGTTCGAGCCCTGGTCTGGGAAGATCCCATATGCCGCAGAGCAACTAAGCCCGTGCCCCACAACTACTGAGCCTGTGCTCTACAGCCCGCAAGCCACAACTACTGAGCCAACATGCCACAACTAATGAAGCCCACGCACCTACAGCCTGTGCTCTGCAACAAGAGAAGCCACGGCAATGAGAAGCCCGCGCACCACAAGGAAGAATAGCCCCTGCTCGCCGCAACTAGAGAAAGCCTGCATGCAATGAAGACCCAAAGCACCAAAAATAATTAATTAACTTTAAAAAAAATTTAAAAATGAATGAAACTGTAAATTAGTTTAAATAAATAAATAAATAAATAAAATGCAAAGGAGTGACAAACCCACGTGTTGGTGAGGACACAGAAACACGGGCACTCTCACATATACCACTTTGGGAAACGATTTGACAGCATCTTCTAGCAATGAACATATGCCTATCTTATGACCAGCAATTCCACTCCTAGGCCTGTACCCAGCAGAAATGCATCCATGCATTCACCAGACATGTTCTAGAATGTTCATGGCAGCACTATTCAAAATAACTGAAAACAGGAAACTACACCCCCTCAATAGAAGAACAGATGTGTACTTTAATATAAAGTTGTTTTTTTTTAAGTGGCCCTGATTTTAAAAAAATTAAAAGCACGTGTAACAGGAATTCCTATATTAACATGGGACGTGCTCTTTCGGCCGCACTCCTCAGCAGACTGCTGCCATGGGCCACGGGATCTGTGGGCAGAGGAAGGGCGCCAGCTCCACGTTCCGCGTGCACGTGAAGCACCGAAAGACGCCGCATCTCTGCACACCGTGGACTTTGCCAAGCAACACAGCTACATCAAGGGTATCGTGAAGGACACCATCCACGACCCGGGCTGCAGCGTGCCCCTTGCCAAGGTGGTCTTCCGGGATCCGTACAGTTTTAAGAAGCGGACAGAGATGTTCATCACCACCGAGGGCATCCACACCAGCCAGTTCGTGGACTGTGGCAAGCAGGCCCAGCTCAGCATCGGCAGTGTGCTCCCGGTGGGTACCGTACCTGGGGGCACCCACATGTGTTGTCTGGAGGAGAAGCCTGGTGACTGGGGCAAGCTGGCCAGAGCCTCTGGAAACTATGTGACTGTCATCTCCCACAACCCTGAGACAAAGAAGACCAGAGTGAAGCTGCCCTTGGGCTCCAAGAAGGTCATCTCCTCCACCAACAGAGCTGTGGTCGGTGTGGTGGCTAGAGGTGGCCGCGCTGACAAACCCATTCTGAAGGCCAGCCGTGCCTACCACAAGTATAAGGCAAAGAGGAATTGCTGGCCATGTGTGCGGGGTGTGGCCATGAACCCTGCTGAGCGTCCCTTTGGAGGTGGCAACCACCACCATATCGGCAAAGCCTCTACCATCCTCAGAGATGCCTCTGCTGGCCAGAAAGTGGGTCTCACTGCTGCCCACCGGACTGGGTGTCTCTGGGGAACCAAGACTGTGCAGGAGAAAAAGAATTAGGGCTGAGGGCTCAATAAAGTTTGTCTCTTTCACAAAAACAAACAAACAAACAAACATGGGACGTGACGTTTAACTGTCATACTCATGGGGTGTATTGTGTGCCAAGCACTGTGTCAAGGGCCATCATGGCACCTGCCTGCGCCCCTCTGTGCCCCTCTCCATTCCCTCAGGTGCTCCAGTCCAACACCGGAGCCATTCTTCATTTCATCTTCTCCCTGTTCCCCGCAATATCCAATACACAGGCAGGTCCCATTGGTCCTACTCCCAAAACATCTAATTCACCCCCTTCTGTTCATCTCCATTGCCACCCCCTAGTCCACGCCCTATCATGTCTCCCTGGACCACACAAGGGTCTCCCAACTGGCTGTTCCCCTGTTTCATCTGGAGCCCGGCCATCTGCCCCACTGCCAGCTCATTCTCCACTTTGCAGCCAGAGATCTTCTTAAAATATTTTGTTTTCTGGTGCAGTATTTTTTTCCAGCACTTTTTGAGACAAAATTGACAAAATATTTGTAATTTGATATCTTGAATGGGAAATACATCCACATGGTTCAAAACTTTAAAAAATGTTTATATACGAAGTTACCGAGGGAAGAGCCTTGCTCCCATCCCTACCCCCAACCACCTAGTTCTCCCCAATCACTTGCCCTCCAGCTCTTCACAGGTTGAAGCTCTTCCCTCCAGTTTCCTTATACAAACACACCAGCAGGAATACACACTTGCATTTCTGCCTTTTCCACCCAAAAGACGGCACAGTGCACATCCTGTCTTCACTGACAGCACGTCTACATGGCAGGCATGCTCGTTCTTTTTTATGCAGCATGGAATTCCACTGTGTAGAAGGATAGACTGTAATACTCCCCTAGCGATGGATAGTTGAGCTGTTTCCAGTCTTTTGCTATTTCTCAAGGCACTGCCATGAATGACCTCCCACCTATGTCATTTCTCATGTATGAGGCAGTATGCTGATAGATCACGCCAAATGCATCTTCCACAAGCAATATAAGACAGGGTCTGCTTCCACAAACTCTCACCAAGAGAATGCGTTCCCAAAGTTGTGGATTTTGGCCGATTTTCTCAAATTGATGAAAAAAGGCATCTCAGGATCGTTTTAATTTGCACTTCTCTTATTCGAGTAAGGCTGAGCATCTTTCCTGTGCTTTTCCTTTGTGTTTCTATTTGTTTTCCTTTCCTATGAATTGTTTATATCCTTTGTGCATCTTTCTATTGGGTTGTTGATTTGTTGTTGTTGTCGATTTCTAGATTTTGAGGCGTAGCTACAAAGGTATTCTCCTACTCCAAGATTTCAAAGGGAATCTCTCCTGTTTTCATTTACTTATATGGTTTCACTTTCTACATTTAAATGTCTTGAAAACATAAATCAGATCACACGACACTCCTGCCTAAAATCTTCAGTGACTTCTCATTGCACCCAGTATGGAATCCAGACAGCTCTCTGTGACCCTCAGGTCCCTGCCTGCTGTAGCCCTGAGCACCCTCGCTAGTGCCCACTCTCTCTTCAGTTCCGTGAGTGCGTGCGATCTGCTGAGTTCTCCTCCCGAGCTCTCCTCCGCCTCAGGCTTTGCAGCCACTGTTCCCTTCAGATGCAAGGCACTTCCTCCTCCACTTCACCCCATGCCTCCTCTTACCCTCTGGTTCTGCGATGCCAGTGGCAATTACAAAGCCCAGGGCCCAGTGGTGCCAACAGTGCTCCTGGCAGTGTCTTCTGTGCACAAGACTTGGTGGGCAAGACGCCCTCCTACCGTCTAAGCAGACAGTCAAGGCAGTCCAACTTAATTACAATGCCAGCCACGTATGTAATTTAAAGTTTTCTGGTAACCACATTAACAAAGGTTAAAAGAAGGTGGAATTAATTTAATATATTTTATTTAAGCTAACATATTCAAATTACTATCATTTCAATATGTAACCAATATAAAACAATACAATGAACTTTATACATTTTTTCTCACTAAGTCTTCAAAATCCAGTGTGGGTTGTACACTTACACCACATCTAAATTCAGACTTGCCACATTCCAAGCGCTCAAAGGCAATGAATGGGGCTGCGCTGTTGGACAGGGGCGCAACTCTAACCAGCAGGGTCCCGGTGCTCATCCCGGGACGCCGTTTGCCTGTCACACCCGGCGCCTTCAGCGCAATCCTCCCGGGACCAGCCCACCGCTCGCCGGGCGGGGCGGGGCCAGAGCAGCAGCCCCGCCCCGCCCCCCGGCAGCGGCCCACAGGACCCGGCTGAGCACAGCGCCGGGCGCTCCAGGCGGCCTGCGCGGCCCACTCACCTCGCCAGCGCCTCCACAGAGCCTACAATCGGCGCACCACCGCCCTCACCGCCGTCGTACAGCACGCCTGAGATGTCGAGCAGCACCCCGCGCACTCCGGCCAGCCGCTCGCCCCACGCAGCCATTGCGTCCCGCCTGCGCCTCGGCCCCCGCGTCCCAACCGGCGCCTGGAAGCTGCGGCCGCGCTCGCCGCGCAGGGTTGCCTGGGAAGTGTAGTCCCGCGGGCGGGGCGGGGCAGAGCTGGGCCAGTGGGGCGTGGCCGGGCGCAAACCCGGCAAGACGGGCGCTGCTTCCCGACTCCCGAGTCACGCGCTCCCAAAATGGGAGCCTTTTCACCTGGAGATCAGTGGATAAAGGGTCAACCTCCCTAAAATTAGAGCAAGGCAGATTGGGACGAGGAGGCAACCGGAAAAGTAACAAAAATTAAAGAGAACAGGCAAGACCTTCATTGGTGTTTTCCTGTGGCCCGATGACACTCCTAACAGCAATGGAGATAGTTGGGCCCACAGACTGGACGATGCTGCGCGCCTGAGAAGCAATGATAAGGTAACGAATCTCTAAAGACATGTATGAAGTGTAAGCTATGATGCCAGAACAAGGTGGAAGAAAAATAAATGTTCAGGGACCGGAATTGTTCAAGAAGTGATAAGATGGCTACTGACAGAAATATTATGCCATGAAAAAAGGAAGACTAGGTTACAACATGAAAAACGCTCACGATATAACATTGTGTGAAAAAGCAGAGGGACTTCCCTAGCTGTCTGGTGGTTAAGACTCGGCTTCCAATGCAGGGGGCGTGGGTTCCATCCCTCGTTGAGGAACTAAGATCCCACATGCGGAGTGGTGCAGCCAAAAAAAAAAAAAGCAGAATGCAAAATTGTATGTAGACCTCTGCCTACAAAAATAAGGCGTAGGAATGGCTGAGAAAAAAATGGGAATATTTCAATGTGTTAGCCCAGTGAGATTTTGGAAGAATTTTTACATTCTATTTAATGTTACATCGTTTTTGTAATAAATAAAAGTTGGTAGAAAAGGGGAAGAGTTTCCTTAACTGCCCTTTTGACCCTTTCAAGTGTTTAAACTGAAACTTCAAAAAATTTGACTTCTGGGACTTCCCTGGTGGCACAGCGGTTAAGAATCCGCCTGCCAAAGCAGGGGACACGGTTCAAGCCCTGGTCCCGGAAGATCCCACATGCGCGGAGCAACTAAGCCCGTGCGCCACAACTACTGAGGCTGCGTTCTAGAGCCCGCGAGCCACAACTGCTGAGCCCGTGTGCCACAACTACCGAAGCCTGTGCACCTAGAGCCCATGCTCCGCAACAAGAGAAGCCACCACAATGAGATGTCCGTGCACTGCAATGAAGAGTAGCCCCGCTCGCCGCAACTACAGAAAGCCTGCGCACAGCAACAAAGACCCCATGCAGCCAAAAATAAATAAAATAAATAAATTTATTTTTTTAAAAATTGACTTCTCTTAGCCTGACTTAACTTTAAGTTTTCAAAAAAAGACCATATTAGGGTGGCCATTTTGTTTCAGGCTCTTGATTCACAGATGGCATGAAGAATTCATCAGAATATTAGAACTTTATAAAGCAGAAACTAACACACCATTGTAAAGCAATTATACCCCAATAAAGATGTTAAAAAAAAAAAAAAAGAATATTAGAACTTTAACCCAGTTCAATGAATCGTGCGTGTCATGTTGATAAGTTTACTAGGAAAACTGTGTACTCCGCTGATTTTACAGAGAAATATAAAATATAGTTCCTGCTCTTTGGGGATTTACAATCTGGTTGGGGGAGAAATGAATATGAGACCTCATATTAATCATGGTTCTTGGGCTTCCCTGGTGGCGCGGTGGTTAAGAATCTGCCTGCCAACGCAGGGGTCATGGGTTCAAGCCCTGGTCCGGGAAGATCCCACATGCTGTGGAGCAACTAAGCCCATGCGCCGCAGCTACTGAGCCTGTGCTCTACAGCCTGTGAGCCACAACTACTGAGCCAGTGTGCCACAACTACTGAAGCCCACGCGCCTAGAGCCTGAGCTCCGCAACAAGAGAAGCCACCACAATGAGAAGCCAGAGCACCACAACGAAGAGTAGCCCCTGCTCGCTGCAACTAGAGAAAGCCCACACACAGCAAAAAAGGCCCAATGCAGCCAAAAGTAAATAAATAAAATAAAATTTTTTTAAAAATCATGGTTCTTAGTTGCAGGCAATAGAAACTTCTCCAGCTAGAGGGGTAAGTTTATACAAGGCATCAAGGAGCTTACAGATTTCCAGGGGGACTGGGTAACCAAGCTCAAGTACCACACAGCAAAGAGCCGTGCAGCTCTGAGAAACGCCCAATTTCATTGTTCCACTGAGACCACTGCCCCATCACTTGGCTCTTAAGATGACAGGAACCTGATAGTATTGCCCCGAAAGAACCAAATCCACCCACCATACCTTCAGAGAATTCTCCCTCTCCACCTATGGTCACCATCTCACTTTCACCATGTCTGGCTTGGTGGAACCTAGTGCAACCTGCAAGGGAGTCTGGGAAATGCAGTGTTTGCATTCCAGATTCTGTGGTACAGGAACTGAGTGAGTCCGTCTGGATAATCTACCACGATCATCATGAGCCATACATCACCCATGTATAGAGCTTCAACTCTGTGGGCTTAGTGGGTCCCAGGGTCCAAAAAGGTCTAAAGTGTGATCTTTGCCTTTGAGTCAAGACTGGGCAGAGAACAAGATGTACACGTTTAAGATTACTGATCAAACGTGTGCAGAGTGCCAGTGAGTGACAGACAAAGCCAAGACGATGGACTCTGTGGGCTGTGGAGGGCGGCTGTGGTTTCTGAGCAGAGGGGCAGCCTGAAATGGACCTTGAAGCATGGCTGGGCTTTAGCTTCACGCCAAAGAGGAAGAGGAGAAAGGGCACTTCTGCCTGTGGTGGTGAGTCCACGCGTAGTTCTCCCTCTCCCATTAGCTGGGCATGACTTTGGGCAAATCACTTTCTGTATCTAAGATTATGGAGACAGAATAATGGCTCCTTGAAGATGCCCACATCCTACTTCCCAGGACCTGTGAGTGTGTTACCTCCCATGGCAAAGGGGACTTTGCAGATGTGATTAAGCTAAATATCTGGAAATGTGAGATTATCTGGGATGACCCGCATGGGCTCGATCTAACCACAAGAGTCCTTATAAAGGAAAGATGGAGGCAGGAGAAGAGTCAGAGGAGACATGACAACACGTCATGCCGAGATTTGAAAATGCTATGCTGCTGGGCTTGAACACGAAGGAGCCACGAGCCACGAAATGCAGGCAGCCTCTAGAAGCTGGAAAAGGCGAAGAAATGGATTCTCCCCTACAGCCTCCAGAGGAGCACAGCCCTGAGAACACCTTGATTTTAGGAGTTCTTGCCTCTAGAACTGTAAGAGGACAAATTTGTGTTTTTTAAGCCACTAAGTTTGTGGTAATTTATTACAGCAATAATAGGAAATGAATACAGGGACCCGAGTCTCTCACCTGAAGAAGGACATGTTGGTCCAAGGCAACAGATCTCTCTAAGTGTGGGCTCAGACCTAACCCAAAAGTCCATGACCTTTCTTTGGATGTAACAGAAGAGCATTGTATAAGTTAGAGTTGTTTTGGCTGCATGTAACAGAAATCCACCTATAGTCGCTCAACCAGATAGACTTACTCTTTCTCATATATCAAGAAGCCAAGAGGACTGGAGAACGGACTTGAGGATATGGGGATGGGGAAGGGTGAGCTGTGACAGGGCGAGAGAGAGTCATGGACATATATACACTAACAAACGTAAGGTAGATAGCTAGTGGGAAGCAGCCGCATGGCACAGGGAACGCCTGGAGGGGTGGGATAGGGAGGGTGGGAGGGAGGGAGACACAAGAGGGAAGAGATATGGGAACATGTATATGTATAACTGATTCACTTTGTTATAAAGCAGAAACTAACACACCATTGTAAAGCAATTATACACCAATAAAGATGTTAAAAAAAAAAAAAAAAGAAGCCAAGAGGAAGTCAGCCCTGGGCAGGTACAGCAGTCCCCAGGAACACTGGGAAATAGTCTACCTCCAACTTTCTGCTTCACCATCCTTAGGCTTTCACTCTCATGCTGTCAAGATGTCTGCTGTACCCCCAGGCATCATGTCTGCATTTCAAGAAAGAAAGGAAAGGAAAAGGGAAAAGGGCCTCTGACAACTGAGTCTTGCCCTTTATAACAGGAAAAACAAAAGCTGCCCCAGAATCCAGACCCAACAGATTCTTGTTTATATCTTTTGGGCCAGAGCTAGTCAAGTGGCACATTAACACTCCAGCGTGCAGGGATGTAAGAGCTTGGCCTCTTACATTTCCAATAACAAGTCTACAAATCATGTCTGAATTTCAGCTTAAATATGAATCCTTCCAATCCTCTTTTGCTGTAGTAGATGTGTGTATAATCCTTCCAGACTTGCTTGTATTAGCTAGGACTCCTTGGTTGCCAGTGACAGAAACCCAACGGCAAATGGCTTAAATTTAAAAGGAATTTATTGGCTCTTGTAACCAGTCTAGCAATTGATGGCTTCAGATGTAGCTGGTTCTAAGGCTTGAATGGTGGTGTTCTGGGCTCTCTGACTCTCCATTTCTTGGCTCTGCCCCCTTCTCTGGGTTCACTTCCTTCTCTCCGTGTGGCCAGGCTCTCTCTAGGCAGTGGGGAGGGAGGGCTGTGGCAGTTCCAGGCCACAGAGCCCTGGGTAAACCATATGGTAAAGAACATTTTCCTCAATTTGGCCTGATAGTTGCAGAAAGAACTCTGACTGGCCCTCATGTCTGTGTTCAGGGGGAAGAGGTACTGTGATGATGCAGCCTGACTTAGGTGCCGAGGAGGGGCACTTGAGTAGAGCCTCACCACGGCCACATAGAATGGGGGAGGAATGCCCCCAGCAAAAGGCAGGGCGTTGTAACAAGAGTGTTATGGTCTGAAAGTTTATGTTCTCACAGAATCATGTGTTGAAATCCTAACCCCTAAGGTGATGGTATTAGGAGGTGGGGCTTTTGGGAGGTGATTAGGTCATGAGGTTGGAGCCCTCATGATTGGGACTTAGTGCCCTCATAGAAGAGACCCCCGGGACTTCCCTGGTGGTGCAGTGGTTAGGAATCCACCTGCCAGGGCTTCCCTGGTGGCGCAGTGGTTAAGAATCCATCTGCCAATGCAGGGGACACG